CTGTCATCAACTCAAGCAGACTTTCCCAATTTCCGTGTTACACAAGATTTTGCATTTAGTCACGTTGGGGTAGATTTTGCGGCACCAGTTTACGTAAAATTGGTTGCTAAAGGACAAACCGAAATGACCAAAGCATATATTGTACTTTATACATGTGGAAGTACTCGAGCAGTTCATCTGGAATTAGGACCAAACTTGACAGCTGATGCGCTTATTCCATCATTTAGGAAATTCATTACTCGAAGAGGTATTCCAAAGTTGATATTTTCGGAAAACATTTAAGTCCTCCAGCAGTAAATCGTCAGCATTAATTGTTTTACCGGAAATCCAAGAATTGTTAGAATTGACAGTCTAGACTGGTTGAATGGAAATTTATTGTTGAAAAGGCCCCTTGTTTGGTTGGGTTCTGGGAGCGAATGGTCAAGTAGTCGAAGCGTTGTTTAAAGCATTAAAAAATGCGAGATTAAGTTACGATGAACTTAATACAGTTCTTACGGAAGTGGAAAGTGTACTAAACTCAAGACCTCTGACGTATGTTGAATCTGGCGAAAGGGAAGAAGCTTTAACACCTTTTCATCTATTAATGGGAAGACGTTCAAATTTAATGTCAAATTCTAGGCGTGAAAGAGAAACGGTAGTCATATCTGGAACGGAGTTAACAAAAAGAGCGAAGTATCTACCTAAGTTAACTGACAGTTTCTGGAAAAAGGCACAAGGAATATCTTCTGAGTCTTCGGGAACAACATCGTGGCTCGTTGAGCGAGACGAAAGAAACATCTATCAAACTTGATGATGTAGTTAGTGTGCATGACGAGAACAGATCTCGAGCAAAGTGGCGTTTGGCAAGAGTTCATTAACTAATACGTAGTACAGATGGGAAAATACGCGCTGCTGTTATTAGAATTGCGGTGGAGAGGAAGAATGCAACGTAAATACGGCGTCCCTTTCGGAAACTGTTTCAATTGGCAATGGAAACATTTGGAACTTAGGAACGAACATACCCAAGAAGATGCAAAGGAGGATCGCAGACCGAGAAGAAAAGCAGCAATTGTCGGAGAAATACAGAGACTTTGTTTTGACAATTAAGTTGTCAATGCCGGAGTGTACTAGCCTGCTCACAGACGTTGTAGTAGTTCTCACGCCAAGCGACGAAGTACTATACCGTCTGCTTACCCGCCAAACTGAATTCCGTTACGCCAACCAATCAGAATGTACCTTCCAAATTCTGGAGAGTGACGTCAGTTGATTTAGGAGCGGAATAAATATAAATATATATTTTGAAAGCTGTCGTCCGTTGAATTTTGGTCAAAATTGCACATAAATTGAATTTAAAGATACTGAGACTTGTCCAGGTAATAAAATGCACAATTAATGATCAGATATGGATATTAAAAATGTTCGGTTATATTTAAAACGCGGACAGAATTGGCATATTTATACTCTATGAATCTTAGCCAGACAGCGTTAAATGCCGAATATATTTCGCCGAAATTTTAACGGTTTATCTTTATAAGAAAATTTTATATAATACTGTGGCTTAGAAAGCGAAATATTAGCTTCAAAGAAAACTAATTTGCTGTTTTAGCCACCACTTCTGAATGTAAACTGTAAACACAACACAAACCCGAGAAACTTGTATTAAAATTGCGCCTTGATGAATTTTCCAATTCGCCCAAACTTCGAAACGTTTATACTCTAACTTGGCTATATATTTCTGCATGACAATGAGAGCTTAATCTTTTAGAAGTTTTCGTCGAAGTCATGGCATATAGGAAGTATCAAGAGCAACATTTGGACATATCCTGATATTCTCAAGTTTCCCGATTGATTGTTTAATTGTCATTGTTAACAAAATTTAAATTTCGCCTACTGCATTGCTTTTGCACTTTGTATACACCGATTGTTTGCTGAATAAGCGAGAAGATGATCACAATATTATTCTACGTAAACATCGTGAAGTTCAACGCTATAGTTTCCAATATATATCCACGCAAGTAAACAAATTTCAAGTTTCAACCCATGCAAGCAATATATTCCAATGCATGTGCAAGGGCTTTCCCCAGTAGCTAATCTCTAATAAGGCGGCTTCCAATTGGCTCTAACTTTTTTCAACACCGCCAGATGATTGGCTCCTAAAACAAAGGGAATTGATTATGCAGCTCGGGTAAGCAGACGGTAGTATTTCGTCGCTTGGCGTAAGAACTACAACGTCTGTGAGCAAGCTAGGAGTGTACCAACTTCCGTGAAATTTTATGTTAATCCCCGAGCCGACGGCGCGAAGCGCCGTGCGAGGGTACTAATTCCCCCGGCTATTTACACCCGGGGAAACGAAAGCATTAGGGAAGTCTAAAGTTCATCAATTATCGCGGGCGTGGGTGACCAACGATGAGTGGTCATCCTCACTGATCTCAAAAATATGGCGGACTGTCATGAATAGCGGACACTGATTGGTCCAATTTAAAGTTTGCATTATAACGACTGCATGACGACAGCGAAATAGCAAACATTTCTTGATTTGATGATTGATTAATTTTTTGCTCGCATTTTTGCAAGATTTTGTAAATTTCAAAAGTTTCCTCATAAAGAAAGGGCAAAAGAATCGGCTAAAGGAAGGGAGCCGACGTTAACGAAGGTAAGCTTGTTTTAAATATTGATTTTATAATGGATTTAAAACCCGACGGCCTTTGTGTATGTGAAACAACTAAACAAGACAGCATACAATTTCAGTGTATCTTTAATATTGATTCCCTTTTTTATTATGTTGAATTTTTTAAATAAAAAAGAAAGCAAAGTTAGTTGCAAGCGAGAATTTGAAATAATTTTATTGCAAACTCAAAGTTTATCGATAAAGCCATTTAATTAAAGGCCGGCCGTTTAGTTTTATAAAGAACACTTTAAAACGTTTTGCGAAGCGTTTGTGGTTGAATTTTACCTTAATTTGAAGCTTATATTACGTATAATAACATACCTAACATATATATGTTGGGAAATTGATAATTTTGTAATTAAAAGTGATATTTTTAGGCGATTTGTAAGAATATTCTTAAAAAATTATCGTGTTACCATGACAACTACTTAAGAGCCTGTTCATCTGGGAATAAAGGAATACCGAATGGTTTTCGGGGCAGGATTGCGTGATCCATGCACGAGGGATGTCGGAGACGTAAAGACGAAAGCGCAAAAATACTCGAGCCGCAGGCGAGTGTATTTTTACGCTTTCCGAAAGTCGAAACGAAACGTTAGTCAATAAATTTTATATTTTTGTTATGTCTTGTCTGAAAGTCATTTGCTGGGCTTTAATTTTCATTTTTTTTCATATGAAGTTGTGTAACTTTTAAATTAATATTATTTTCAAATCAAGACGGGATCTCGCTTGTGAACTTGTCGAAACGAAATGTTTTCTCGCTAACCGGGATAACTTTATTATATTATTACATTATAACATTATTATTACATTATTATTATTATTACATTATATTTATTTATTATAACAAAACCATATTTTGATATGGGGTATTTCCAATACACCGCACTTGCTGAATATCAAATCTTTGTTACGACGATATAAGCGATAAATACTCGAAGTTGTTCATTAATTTAAGTTCTAAAAATGTTCGTAAAATGCGACTGCAATTTTGAGCCACGGTCCGTGGTTCTCATGTTAATAAACATTGCAAATACGTGCCATTGATTTGGCTATGATTTATTGCGTCATATTATGGAAAGGCTTAAATCGATAACTGTTCGGAAAATTCCCAACATAGTACGAGTTTTGATATTAAAAAGTTTCAACTTCACGTTTGACAGCAACGCTAAACCGAAGAGACTAATTTTCGTGCATGGCAGAATTTTTGTTTAATTTCCTTGGTTCATATTTTCTTTCTTATGTGCAAAGGATCATTACCTGGTGATCTGGCGGTGAGCAAAACGACTGGGACTAGCAACGGAATATAAATCCTATTATTATTATTATGAATGTCTGGGACCAATTTGAAATAGAAATCTAATACCGTTGATGAGATATTGAGTAATTTTAAACCAGAAATGGATTTCTATTTTACAACTAGTGCCAGGCCTTTTCCGAGTTCCTTGATCACCTGGTATTCATTACAGTTTTACATGCAAGGTATGCATGCAAAGCGCGTATGTAAATTCATATGACTTCGAATACATTACCACGTCGAGCAGTATTGGCTGAGCGAGCACAGAATGTTATCATGCAACACGAATCGTGCTTTATTTATCCGGTCGTCTCAGTTACAGTATATAATTTACAGTATATTGTCATAAACTTGCAATCTGAAATAATATTACATGATTGACTGGTATTGTGAATTAATTAATCGTTTCGCTAACGATTATCTTCTCGAGTGTCCTATCTTTGTTGACCTTTATATATTATAGCTCTATATGGCGCCTAATACGTACGGCAATGCGATATTTACAATTTATAGGTTAATTTATTTGTAAGTATTTCGGTGATACTATGCAACATGGCATGTTATATTATTATTGATGAACCTAATTATTCTGTCAAATAACTATACAAAATTAGAATGTGTTTATATGGACGTTAGATATTTAAGGATATTTAAATAGTTGAGATGTGAAGTGTCCAAAGCATGGATAAGTGTTTTGGTCGAGTCATGTTATAAGGCTTCCTAACTCGCTGAATATTGTATAAAAATCCGAACTTTGCCAGCGTGGACATTTATTCGCATTTCGCTCAGGTCCAATCAAACTCGAAGTTGCGCACATCTTTCACAGGCATAATGGTTGATTCGCCAGGCCGTCGCGACTGCTGGGGGGGGGGCACCCCTAAAAAAAACGTTTGCGGCAAATGAAAGGTTTGTCGCCAAATGAAAAAATATTATTATAATTATGGGCACTTACTCTGAAAAAAGTGTACGAGAGAAAAAAAACCCCGGAAAATAAGGAAGTTATCAAAATCGTGCTGGACATTGTCATTGTGGTCCATCAAAACAAGGCATTTCGAGGTGATGGAAAGCAAGAGGACGGGAAACAGAGAACTATCCTTTGCTTCAAACGTGGATAGGAAGCAAGCGATCGCGCTCATATCATATCATGTCACGTGCGTGTTGCCTGAATCAAAGAATGAAATGATTCAGTTACTAGCAGAAGATGTCCGACGTCAAGTTGTGAAGGAGATAAAGGATGCGAAGATGTTTAGTGTTTCTGCAGATGCTACCCCTGATCTATCTAGGAACGATCAGTTGTCGGTGGTGTGTAGATAGCCTATGTAAAGGAAGACGATGACGCAAAACAACGACCTCTGTGCATAAAGATCACTAAAACCAAAATGGGCGCCAGAAATACTGATAAAATCATCACAACTTTGAACAGTCTTGCGTTGAACACAAACGAGCTTTGTTTCCAGTCAGTGATGATTTCACTGCCTCAATGTCTGGTCAATTCAATGCCGCTCAACAAAAGCTTCAGGAGAAATTGAATCAAAACATTCAATGCGTTTATTGTCAAGGTCACAGAACATGATATACAGTGGTGAAACACAGCTGCGATGCATGTGTTATTGTGAAAGATATGTTCAATATCCTAGAAAGTTTATACGTTTTTTTTGAGCACCGGATCTGTAACTAATAATTACTAAATTAAATAATCCTGGTCATTTCTATTTCTGCAATTTGTGTTTAGCTCTGTATAATAAAAGTTAATAAAATGGAAATTGAAAATATTCTACTTCTGATCTATTAAAATCCTTATTCTAGGCACGGAAAGTTGTATGAAAACATCAAGGGAGTGGAGAACGCATTAAAGCTGAGAGATCTGTCAAAGACACGGTGAACCAATCGGGCAGAATCTATACGTGCAGTTTGGACAATCTACGAGCTTATAATGAACGCTATATCCGCCATTCAGAATTCTGGTGAATTTGGCAAAAGCACGAAAGTGGCCTTTCCGATAAAATGATGATTTAACTTTGTCGATAATGTTTATGAAGAACATCATGTCGAAAACAAAGCAGATGACCGAGGCATTACAAAAGAAAGAATAAAATATCCTCGATGCTATGACGATTATCAGGGCGACCATTGATAGTCTGAAGAGAATGAACGAAAACTCTCATGCCATAGATGACGAAATTCATGCCGGTATTGCGTATGCAGGCAAGTTAGGCGGTGATCCAGAAGCAGAATTCAACATCATCGCGTGAGACAAACATCGCGTGAGAAGACCACCAAGAAGGATCGATGACAACCCCGACTCGCAAGCGACGCTAACAATGATGGCATTTTACAAAAAGATTGTTTTGGTTTGTGTAATGTTTTGACGGCATTTGACCCCCCCCCCTACCCCCAGGATTCCAATGGTGCTTTTCGTTTTAAAGGGGGGTAAACACTCAATGAGATATTAACAATTTGAAACAATAAAAATCGTTTTGAATTGGCACATGACGAAAAATTAACCATTTACTGGCAGTATTCTATCCACTGACGAGTATAATTGTGGGTGTATTGCCAGCTAATGGGTTAATAAGAGACATTGGCAGATGTATTTGTTAACTTTGTTGACCCATTTACTGACAGTACTCTACCACTGACAAGTAAAATTGTCTGGCGTTACACAGTGTAAATTTGTCTGGCGTTAGACAGAGTTAATACTGAAGTAGTGCGCATTGCCAGCTAGTAAGTACATAGACCTTAATATCCTCTTCTGACCCAATGGCCTCATTTTCCTGTTGGTTATTTACTCTTATTCCGTGAACACAATTTAAGAATAAATTTGTGATTGCATGGGCTTAAATGATAAACGAGAAACAAATTTGTTTGGAAAACATAGGCGATATAACCTTCATGTGCAGGTCTGCCATGCTACCAATGATGAAATGTGGAAATGAGGCCATTGAGTCAAAAGTAAACTTCTCTTCAGAGAATTATCTAGCAGTATAAACTTTTGCATGTTCATGTGCCAAAAAGGCAGCACTTTCCTTGCGATAGTAACTCCTTTATTATTATAATAATAATACTAATAATAATAATAATACTAATAATAATAATAATAATAATAATAATAATAATAATAATAATAATAATAATAATAATAATGGAAACTTTATTAAATGTTTTTCTTTACATACATATACAATCGTAAATCTCTCTCAAAAAGGTAACTTACGGTTGGCTATTTGAATCACAATTATACTAAACTAAAATAACAGAACAAAGTGCATGCAATATATAGATATATACAATGAGATAAG